TATTGCACAAGCTGATGGATTCTTTAGCATACAAGGTGAGCCAAACTTGCAGCATATAACACACTCGTGCATCCTTATCTTAAGTATGAATCTCAAGTTGGATACCTGCAGACCCATCTCATCAAGTAGCTCGATGTTTAATTCTATGTGGTTTGTACGATTTATTGTCTACAGGTGTACCGTACCAGTTACAGCATTAGACGGTGTAAGGGCTTTAGAAGTATTTTTTGATATATAAAAGAGACTGCACCTGTGAATAAAGCTACCCGCACATTTGTGAAGTGTTAAGAAAGCATTTTGATTGTTTATGGTGTGTCTCTGTGTCATATATATTATTTTTTTATTCTGTGATCTCTTGTTATGTACTCGGTATCCGTTCTACTTGTAGTGAATGCTCCTGCCGTGGCCTTTTACTTTGCTGGCAGTTTTGTCAAATAAATAAAATTGTGACTGATTTTGTTCTTTTTAACATCATCTGTGCTTGTGTATTTTCATTGAGATTTTGATCTCGCATTCGCTTATTTTGCATTGTTCTCTGAGTGAGATTTCAATTATTTTTGCCTGATTCCATTTTACTGAAATAATCAGCAATTGCTTTACTCGAGAACTAGGTGCTGAAACCGAGCGCTATTTTCAAGTCTGCACCAGGACGCTGGCGCAGGAGTCTAAAAGCAGCGTAAATTGTAATTAAACCTGGATTCTTTTAGTATGAACGAATAACAGAAAAAATACACTCGGATAAAATTACGGAGTAACGAAACTAAACGAACACGGAGTTTTCATTTCTAAAAACGGTTTCATCAAATAAAATAACGAAAATTATACGCAAGGAAAAGTAGCTGCACCCCGTAGCCCGCTAGCGAAAGGCCCGCGGTGTCGCTAATTTTTACAGCATGCACAGAAATACGTAGCGATTTTTATCATTACTAGCGCACATGAAGGCACCCTAATCATTACTAGTACTGCTGGCAGCTTAAAAGTGCTAGCTTAGCGTCAAGCACATCAACACTTCCCCGATTAGAAAGAAAATAGTATCTTGCTTTCTAGGCCGCCAAATTGTTTTTAGGGCCCGTAGGCCAAATCCTCCTGAAAGCTCACCAAGGACACGTATTAAAAAGTAGTCAATCATTTGAAATCGTGGAGAATAAAATTACAATATCGCGGTTTTATATGATGATTAAAAACGACTTGCAATTCCTGTGAAGCCGAACACTCACGAGACACTGACCTGAAGCAACTCGCCGGTAGGGCGATTATCCAAAGTACTTTCGGGATGCGCGGTTGGACGAACAGTTCTAGAGTGGCTTCAGGGCGGTCGGATGCGAATGCGGGCTCTAAATGAGGTCATTGCCACACTTGTATTACAAGAAAAGTCCACACGATCGGCAACTCGGCCGCGCCAGCTGTGAAGCCGAACACTCACGAGACACTGACCTAATGCAACTCGGTAGGGACGATTATCCAAAGCACTTTCGGGATCCACGGTTGAACGAACAGATCTAGAGCGGCTTCAGAACGGTCGGATACGAATGCAGGCTCTCAATAAGGTCACTGCCACACTTGTATTACAAGAAAAGTCCACACTATCGGTAACTCGCCCGCTCCAGCTGCGAAGCCGAACACTCGCAAGACACTGACCTAATGCAACTCGGTAGGGACGATTATCCAAAGCACTCTTGGGATCCGCGGTTGGACGAACAGATCTAGAGTGACTTCAGGACGGTCCGATACGAATGCGGGCTCTAAATGAGGTCATTGCCACACTTGTCTGACGAGAAAAGTCCACACGATCGGCATCTCGACCGCTTCAGCTGATCGAGACGTCGAGACGCTTGGGAAATTCCAGAGGGCGCCTCCGTCGCAAACCGGAAGTTAGAGGTGGGGTAAGGAGGGTTTTTAGAGGAGAAGGAAAGACAATGCGCCACTTTTCCCAGATACAGGGACTTTATTTCGCCGGACATGGGTACGCCACGCACAGCCAGACGTGGGTGGGTGAACCCACATGGCTCGGGGTTCATAGATACGCCACTCACCAAGCACCTACTAAAGTAGGTGCCCCCTGCGTGCGGGTATGGTGGCCGAATCCCGGAGAAAAACTCACCGGAGAAAAGCTCACCGGAGAAAGGCTCACATGAGATAAGCTCACCGGAGAAAAGCTCACCGCAAAACCGACGAATGCGGAGAAAAGCTCACCGGTCATCAGCGTATGCGGAGAAAAGCTCACCGATTTTTTTCGTCTTTTTATATGGAGGCTGTTGGATCATACGTAACATATTTCAATTTATTATCATTAAAATTCGTCAGCTTTGTAGAAAAGAAAATGTCCTTTTTCTTAATATTTGTTAAGCTTATTGGGTATATTGCTCCCACATTAATAATTGCGGGCGAGTGTTTATTGTGGCTTACTCTCTAGGTAAGGAAAGCCTAACCGCCTAACTGAAAACTTAATGAGCTTGAAGAACAGGAAAATGTTCGAACACCTAATGATATCTGCCTAAAACCTAAAAATTAGAACTCTAAAGCCGAAAATCCGAAAGTGCATGCGCAACAACGCGGCGCCTGAAATTCTCTTTAAAGCCTTTGTTAACCTTTGAAAACAGGATATCGAGGCTTCTTTCTTCCACGGACATGCACGTTTTCATGCCGTTCGTGCTGATGTTTCCACACGTTGCCTTAGTGTGGTAGTGCCCTTCTACGGTGAGCCGCTCATGACCTTCAGGGCTGCACATTGGCACCGTTGTTTTTCGTGGCCTATATAAGAAGTAGTCTTCTGTAAGGTAGTGAATCGGGCGAATTGGTAAACGTTATACATGATGAAAACCGCTCAAACGACAACGACAGAGTGAAGACAACGAACACGACAGGACGAAGCTATTCTCGCAAGTAAAGGTTTGTTAGTCAAATTAACAGAAATAAAACAGCGTAGCCGACACTGATTACATCAACAAACACCTACTTATCTATTAGACATTACACAATATTTGGAGCTCAAACGGTTCGCACACCGCTATTCATATTAGCTCGCAACGAAGAAACCTCTTTATCTGACAGAGCTACCTACTGCGCACTGTCAGTTGTCGATAAATTGTTGTCGTTTTTAAAGGTGTACGATGTTCTGAATTTATACTTGCGGCTTCATTAATATACAAAATGGTTGATTACTAATTTCAGAGGAATTAATAAATATGAACAATAAACTTCAAGAATATTACAAAAAAGAGGACATACTTTCAATGAACTGACGAATGCGAACTGTGTTAAATTGCCACGTTTGGCGCAGAATCCGCTAAGTTAAAAAAAAATCGGTGGGTTTTTCTCCGCATTCGCGCAAAGGCCGGTGAGCTTTTCTCCGCATTTGCCAATTTTCCGGTGAGCTTTTCTCCGGTGAGCTTATCTCCGGTGAGCTTATCTCCGGTGAGCTTTTCTCCTGTGAGCTTTTCTCCGCCGCCCATGGTGGCCCACGTGACTGGGGTCCGCGGTGACGCCACTCACCAAGCACCTACCACCTAGGGTGTAGGCTGCGGGGCTCGGGCGGCGGAGAAAAGCTCACCGGAGAAAAGCTCACCGGAGATGAGCTCATCGGAGAAAAGCTCACCGCAAAACCGGCAGATGCGGAGAAAAGCTCACCGGAGAAAAGCTCACCGGAGATAAGCTCATCGGAGAAAAGCTCACCGCAAAACCGGCAGATGCGGAGAAAAGCTCACCGCGGCCTTTGAGCGGATGCGGAAGAAAGCTCACCGATTTTTTTTCTTTTTTTTAACTTAACAGATTTTGCATCAAACGTTCCCTATTGGAAAAACGTACAAGAAACAAACCTGCTGCTTGTACAGTTCTGGTATGACACCAGTATAATTTCTTGTTATTATGTATGCAGCTAGTTTGGTTCGGCTTTCTGCATAACTGGAGATACCGGCACCGCTATGGCTCCGGGTCTGTCTATACTGGCAGCCAGTTTGCTTGCCGATATGATTCGGTGTGCTGGTATGATTTTGCGGCCGATGACGTAGGCAACCGCCATCTTTCCAACAAAAAACGCTTATACCACACCACCACCGTTATATCCAAATCATACATGCAGAGAGACGACCGCCATCTTCCAACAAAACGTCCATCGTTTACCACCGGTATCGTTACATACACCATACATGTCGAAAAAGAACATAAGCCGCGTTTACATGAATGCGACTAAGGGCCGGTTGCACCAACGCCGCTTAGCGCTAAGCGGAGCTTAGCCGGGAACTTAAGCTAAGTTTTGGTTTCGTTCGGTTGCACCAAACTCGCTTAGCGCTAAACCTAGCACTAAACTGCGCTTAACTTAAGCGCTCAACATTGGGCGCTTAGTTTTTGGTTGTTTCTTAATCCTGGATTTAAAACATGGCGGCTGGTTTGTGGCGGTCGACGCGGTGGACAAAAGTGGTCCTAAAGTGTGTTTTAGGCTGCAACTGTGTAACAATGACCAGAGAATGATCTTCAATTGTGCCAAGGATCCGAAATATAGCCACGATAAGTGCTTATTGACCCATATTTTTAAATACGCTGTCGACTAAAAATGAGCGTTAGCCCTAACCGGGCAAAGCGGGGATCGCGGAGACAAGTCACATAAGTGGGTTGTTTTTTTTGCACGACTCGTGTTTGATCTAATCAGCGTATGTACACGATCGAAAGTATTTAGTTTGGAAGATTACTGAAACGTGTGTCCAAGGTGTAAATATTTGTATTTTCATTCTTTGCCATGAAGCGGAATCGTCGCAATCGACGTTTTGATTAGCGGCAACGTCCGATTGCAATGATCAGCTGATTCTCGACGTCTGCTACTGGAACTTTTATTGTGGCAGACATCTCGCTTGAACAATAAACTATTTAAACATGTTTTAACGCTCTTGTGTATCGCATTAGTTATATATTTCCATATCATATTTTTATTTAATAAGATTTTCAACCTCACGATTTACATTTTAGCAGGTGCTTCTTCGAAGAATGAATGGTTACTGTACGACGACATGTTTGCCGATTCGACTTTTTTTGGAGGGGAAGATAGTGACCTGGAAGATTATCAAGATTCCATCGATGTTCGTTGGATCCAGGGCCGCTGCAGACCACGGCAGGTACGGCCGAGGGACGACCCTTTCTACCGGTACGATGACGTAGATTTTATCACGCGATTCCGACTCTCCAAAGATGCTACCATCCGGCTGCTGAGCCGAATCGAACACGCCATCGCCTTCGACGGCCTTCGCAACTGCCCACTGTCGCCCATCAACCAGCTCCTGGTCGCTCTTCGATTCTACGCGACGGGCACCTTCCAGGTAGTTTTGGGCGACCTGTGGGGTGTGCACAAGTCAACTGTGTGTCGAGTCGTCAAGCGGGTCACGCACGCCATTGCTGCGCTGGCAAGGGACTTCATCTCTTTTCCCACGACCGAGGCGGAACGCAGGACTGTTTCCGAAGGATTTTACAGCATGCAAGGATTTCCAGGCGTTGTTGGAGCAATCGACTGCACGCACGTCCCCATCCAGTCGCCTGGAGGTGACCATGCCGAACTGTATCGGAACCGGGCCGGATACTTTTCCATTAATGTGCAGACAGTGTCAGACCATCAACTCTGCATCCGCAACATTGTGGTCCGGTGGCCAGGCTCGGTGCATGACAGCACAATCTTTGGCAACAGTGCTTTAAAAGCACTGTTTGAGAGTGGACAGATGAATGAGAGCATTTTGCTAGGAGATGGAGGCTATGCCTGCTCCAGGTACCTCTTCACACCAGTTGCTGCTCCGAAGACGCCAGCTGAGAGAGCCTACAACCGGGCCCACATACCCACACGCAGTACTGTTGAAAGGCAGTATGGCGTGTGGAAGCGCCGCTTCCCCGCTCTGGAGTTTGGACTCCGCATCAAGCTGGAGACTGCACTGTCCAGCATCGTGGCCATGGCAGTGGTCCACAATCTGGCACTCCAGCTGGGTGAAGCCGAACCACCCGTAGACTTGAGGTTGGCAAGTCGTCGACGCGTCTTCTCAGATGTAGTAGTAGAGCATGTTCCTGAGCACCATGGCAGGACCAGTGCAAGATCGGCACTCATCGACCAGGTGTTTGCCAGGCGAGCCCGTGTAGCGAGGCGAAGGGAGTAAAACAGCACAAGGGGTGCTCTCTTTTGACAAGTTCCTGATGAAGGAAGACGCCATAGCAGGAGCTGGCTCAGCAGACGCCTTCCACTGTGTGGGAGCAGACAGAGTTCTCGTATGTACTCGACAGCACACAAAGTCATGTGTGAACATTTCTGTTTTGTTTACATGTTAAAGGGCAGTTGCCCAATTCTTGTTTCAGTTCTTTCTCTTGGTGCTGGAAGCGCCGCTTCTGCTACGCTGCAGCACCTTCCCACACCTTGGGTGAAAAAGAGAGCTGTACATGCAGCACTGATAATTAGCGTAGCTCAGTAACCATGTCGATGGTGCCAAGTCAAAAGCGCAATTTGGGAGAGCTGGTTCATGCCTATAAGACTCAGAATACAAAAGGCGTCAACGTGAAAAGCAGCAACGACAAGATACGGGGTCGTTTGTCACAAACTTTATGCAATGCACACTTTTCCAGGCGTCATCGAAGCGATTCACTACATCTCTATTTCGCTTGGTGTCCGAATCATCACAAGACTTATGTAGGATTCTTGTACACTTAAGGCATCTTCACATGTTGAAAATAAGTAATGTGCTCAATAATAATTCTATAAAAGAGATCCTTACAGATCTCCTGAGCAGTTTTTACAAATTCAGTCAATGAGTAGGTGTGTACACAGTGCCATAATATATACTTTCCCGCAGGACATATATAAGAATCTTCCGGGATAAGCATTGACATCACACAACGCACAATATACATAACATTCATCAACCTTTCCTTGATCTGAGGACTTGGATGTAAGCAAAAATTAGAAGCTGTTCATATCGCCCATTTTGTTAGTTCACTTCATTGGAATACAGAAATCCTTTCTGGCAAAACTAATGGCATGACTACATCACATTTACATTGCATGCTGTAGTTTTAGATGACTGTGCAATAACCACCTTATAATTGTCAAATATTGCAGAAATGAAAAGCTATTAATATTTTTTTTATTTTGTGAAGAGTACTTCGTTGCAATACAGGGGTGCCTTGTGGCAAAACTAATGCCATGTCTACTTCTACATAGAATCAGATCTGTTTATCCAGCCATTTAGTTTTTTTATAAAGTATTTGCACTCTAAAACAATGCTATCTTAATCTCCTACAAAGTACTCCCCTTAGCAGCTAACACACTTCCCTATTGAAAAATCCACCAGACCAGTTTGGTGTCTTCTAGTGTTTTCTGTTGTGAACATCAGACCGGCCTGGTGTGTTCTGGTGCGCACATCAAACCAGCCTAACATATTCTAGCGTGCCCACCAGAACACGTTAGGCTGGTTTGATGTGCCCATCACACCATCCTAGTGTGGCCTGATGTGCACATTAAAACAAACTAGGCTGGTCAGATATGCCCACCACAGCACACTAGAATGGCTTGATGTGCGCATTATGCCACACTAGGCCAGTCTAATGTGCACACCACGGGACACTAAACTGGACTGACATGCACTCTAGGGTGAATCTGGTGAGCACACATTACGGATATATGTCTGGTGTTGATTGAAAACATGTTTTCTTGTAAAATTAAATAAGATGTATAGAGCTCGAACATCACATTTGATTTTACAAGGTGCTTAATTGAAGGGGCGATGCAACGATTCAGTTTGAATAATATGTACTTTGTGCAAGCATGCTGACACAGTGTAACAAAAGTTTACCCGTACGCTCTAGCCTGACGCACAGAATAGAGGTTTGTCTCGTCAACAATCACCGTCAGCAGCTTGTCATCAATGAAAACGTGAAAATATTTCAGCGGGCTTTTCACATCATCAGAGGCCGTAAACACGGCCTCCGCAGGCTCCACTAAACACCGGTCTTCCTTTCGCCAGTCGAAAACTTGCGGCGGTGACTTTTGTTTCTTTCTTGACAGAACTGGAAAGGCGGGCGTTCCGCCTTCAGTTTCGTTATCGCTTGGAAGTTCTGTTGTTAGGCCCTTCGTTGGCAAGCTCTCCTCGCCACCGTCACTTACTTCACTATCACCAGATCCCACATCGGACACTGTTCCACTTTCCGGAATGAAAACCACACAGGGACGATCGCGACTTCGTGTCTGGTAGAAAGATCCGGATAGGATTTCCATCGGGCAGCAATAGAGTACGATACCTAAAAGAAAAGAGCACCACGTCATATTCTATCAGTAAACAGGTCAACATAGGGATGAACTAAACCACGCCAAACAGGAAGCTTTCTGCCGACAATTACAGCTGATTCCTCGTGCATAGGTATGTAAGATTCAGAGTGAACGCTCGCCCCTAAACTATCGCCCAGTCTATTTACCTGGCTAAACATTAATCGGCTTAAACTACCGAAACACTGCCAAATCTAAGCCCGGAAGGGAACACCACAGAAATCACAAAGCTACTATCCGACTACTCTCTTAAGCCTGCGTCACATGCAGCGACTGTGGGGAAAAAAAAATCGGTGCGACGGCTGACGCAGCGATTGCGATCGCAATGTTTGGTTTCACATGCTTCAACAACCGCGCGATTTCTGTCTGAGCGGCCGGCGCTTCGGACACGGACGCGACGCTTTGACTTTATCTAAAATACGACGAAAACGTCTTAATAAGCACAAAAGTTTTAGGAATGCAAAATGTAACTAGAAATTTCTAATAATTAGGCATTAAACCAGAAGCTTTTATGTGCCTACGTTTATTTTCTTCTCGCGGATGAAAGCTGGCTAATGAACGGCTGGTTGACAAGAAAGCGATCGCACTGACTCTGCGGCAAAATACCAACTCGGTGGAAAGCAGTCGCAGAGCCGCTGCGACAGTGCGACTGCGACTTTAATCGCACATTTTACTGGAAATCGCACTGATTTCGGGCGAGAATCGCAACATGTGAAACAGCTTTTACACGATACGCATATCTACTATGTACTTTTTCCCCCGACTTTCATACGTTTCAAGGTGCAATACGTCTGCGCTATCGAATCTAGAACTTCTAAAAATGCAAAATTAACATATTTCAGAGCAAAGTACTGCTTACCTTTGCAACAGCAGGCCGAAATGCATAGCACGGCGTGGACGATATGGGACGATACTAACGATACGCGTCCTGGCTGCCGCCATGCACATCGGAGCCGACAGAGAATCTGGAAAACCCCTGGCGGCAAAAATTTGAGACCGCGAAAACGAAACCAGTAAAATGTATCTCCTAACATGCGTTAACTTGCTTGCTTATTGCTTTGGGTTCCAAAAACTATCATCATATTCATTGTATCCTGGAAGAGAGTTAAAAGAATGAAAAAATATTTGTGTCGCTATAAGTGGTGGGAATCGTCGGCGGGGTCTGTGTACACTGGGCAGTTTGGCCCGCCAGCCCGCCAGCACCGCGAGCTCATCGTAGAAGAATCAAGTTCAGCAAGTCACGAGGAAGGTAAGGATCTTTGTTTCTTTTTGTGTTTGCTGCATTGCACATCGGGAATTTCGCAATATTAGATCTGCTGAGACGTTTGTAGCTTGATCTCCAGTGAGCGATACGAGCCTGAATGTATAGATTTACAGAAAAGTTTCTGGCGGCTATCAGTTCGAAAGTCTTCGTTTTACCCAGCGTAGCCAGCCGGCAAGCATATTGAGTTGTCATTCGGACACCTCTTTGAGTTGTTTTCACCACTTGTAGGATCGCTCTATAATAATCGCCGCCCGATCGGTATGTGTTTCAGTCGTCTCCCAGGGAAGGACACAACACAGCGAGAAGACGGCTAATCGTTTTACTGCACTTCCCAGTTGTCCGTCTTCGAGAGCTGGCAGTCCGGACCCGCAGACCCTGGTTGTCTCCCATCGTTCAGAGATCGCAGTCGGCGTCCTTGTCCAGGCCTGCGGACCGTCCTTCCCACGCCAGCGCCGCGTAGGCTAGCTGTTCCGGGCTATCACAGCCCGAGTCTTGCTGCGGAACCAGTCTGGGATCGTCGCGGCCTAGGCCGGTTTGGCCAGGGCTCGCCGTTTCCGCCGATCCTGATCCGAACCTTGCTGGTGGAACACTCCGGGGATCGCCATGGGCCAGATCAACCAGAACGGCTCCATTGTTCCTGCCCGGCCCCAGCATGGTGCAGCACGCTCCTCCTGTTTCCTCGCGCTCGCCCCCGGCTAGAATAAAAGGTGGGTGATTGGAACTAGAGCACCATATAGCTCCTTCGGAGCAGAGTACCGCAGAGCCGTATATTGGGAGAGTTTGGCCCGTAGGTGTGGCGACGAAGGCGCCGGAGAGGAGAAAAGTAAATGAAAGGGAGGAGAGCGCCGTAGGAGCGAGAGATAAAGAAGGGAGCAGAGAGAAGACGACCACCATTTTTTAGCAACGCTGTCGGAGGCTGGTCGGATAAGAGCACTGCTGAGGCTACGCATCGTCTGCTACGGGCCGAATTCTTTTTCACCTGCATAAAAGTTTGGGGCCATGCGCCGAAAAATCTTCATTTGTTAGCTTTTTAACCCACCGAGGAATAACAGAATGTAATTTTCTTGCCAGAGCCAGTGATATAAAAGGCAATAATCGAGATTTAGATGCTGATTCCATGCATTCCGCCTGGAGAATGATAGAAGATGGCGGCCCTTTCCACTCAGCTGCAAGCAGCCGAAAGTTCGCGCTCATGCCTCTCACTCTGCGTCGCGTGCTGATTGGTTCGCTCAGGAGGAGAGTGTTACGGTGGCGAGATCATAGACTGACCAAACTCTCCCCATATACGGCTCTGGAGTACCGCAATCTAGAACGCCATCTCTCGGCGGCTAGTGGCGAACTCCTGGAGGTTCCAACCCCGGTCAGAAATGCATGGAAAACGTGGGAAAATCGCTGTTTCTTCATTGTTGTGGGGATGTACGGAACGACAATAGTTTTTGACATAATAATGGAACATTTTACAACAATTTGCGCTAAGTTCTGTGCCTCGTAAGGACATAAGTTTTTTTAAAAAATGCCTAAGCGGCATCATGCAGCAGACGACGCGGCGATGTCACACCAATCACGTGACCCGCTCCAGCCAACCCCAAAAAAACCATCTCCGCTGTGCAAAACAATCATCTGCTTCAAACGCCATTGCCTTGGAAATTGCCTTCTCACAATTTTCACATGCATCCAATATTATTAAAATTTTGATAAAGTGTTTCGTGCTTTAGCAACTTTACGACAGACTAGTTTCAAAAAGTGTGGACTTGCCGTTTATTTTTTATCAGCCGTGTTGAGTCGATCTCCATGTATTCTCCGATAGGGCGGGCCGCCTCCTGGAACCCTGAGTTCCACGTGACTCGCGCTGAGCTGCTCAGTCGGCCATCTTGTCGGCGAAGCACGCGGATCAAAGGATTGCGCTACTCTGCTCCGTAGGAGCTATATAGTGCTCTAATTGGAACTAGAGACGTCTCGAACCTCCTTCGGTTCGACTTCGAAAGGTTTTGATATTTTCAAACTGATCTGAGGTCCAAATTGAAAGTTTTCAATATTTTCGACCGTACCGATGTGCAAATTCGAAAAGTTTTTAACTTTCGAACACGTGAACACCGAAAACCGGTTTCTAAAAGTTACGGTTCGATTATTTCGAATATTTTTTTACTTGAGATCGAGTAATTCAAAGTTTTTGAACTTTCCTAACTAATAAATCGAGAGATTCAATAATTTTAAATTTCTTGGGATCTGAAGTTCGAAAAATTAGAAGATTTCGAATTTCTTTGAATCAGAAGTTAGAAGATTTCGAATTTCTTTGGATCTGATATTCGAAAAATTTCAACGTTTAAAATTTTTATAGACAAAGTTGGAAAAATTCTAAGATTTCGAATTTCTTTCTGCATAAAGTTAGAAGGTTTCGATTCTCCAAGTGCGCAAAGTTCGAAGTCCGGTTTTCATGTTCCTCTACAATTTCAGTTTCAAATAGCATTTTCACGCCTCACTGGTTTTCACAAAATCAGGTTTAAAAAAGTTAGGTGTGACATTTAGAATGCAGAAGTTGGTCAGGCAATTAAATGAGATGACGAGTGTCCCGGATGTGCTGGAATATTTGCCAGTGCATAGTGATGTCTGGCCATGTAGCTGTAATTGCGCCCTCCAGCCCGGGAGAATCTTTAACGTGCATCACGCAGCAGTGATCACATGAACGCACTCGTACGATACTCCTTCAGTTCGAAACGGCCAGGGGCGGGCAAAAAGTTGAGGCTCAGAAAAACCTTGAAGCGATCTGGCAAGCTACCTCCCCATCCCCTGATTTTCCGGACTGTTAAAGAAAACAATACGGGGAAAGAGGCGTGGTTGAGCTTAATCTTTATTTTAATCTGAAATTATATATGCATATGTATAGCTACTGTCGCTCTTCACTTCATAAAAGATTGCGTAGATGATCATTGTTGGAAACTCGTTGGAAGGCACTACTCGTCACATACTTAGTGGTTCGGAAGTTAAAAGCTATGTCTTTTTGACCTACATAACTGTGCCACTGGTAAAAAAAAAAAAAATTCTTAGTTCAACAAGTTCGAAAATTCAAAATCTCTCGAGCCGCCTGATTCTGTCACCGAACCTTCAGTTCGAAAAAAGTTTGCGGCATCCCTGATTGGAACCAAACTGCATGCGTGAGACGAGTATGCGCTTTGCAATGGCTGTAATGTGGTACGCAAGCCTGGTGTAAAAAGGTGACAGGCAACAAAGTGTGCATATGAGATGGATATTTATGCTTCGCATAATCTTTTTCTAAAGAAAATCTTGTGCATCCTGTTTTGTGAAGGCCTCACATTTGTTACCAGACTCAGCATTAAATTTGGTTGCCAAAACAAACAAATGTGCTGCGAAAATCCACTATTTGAGAACTCACAGGTTTGGAAGGTTTTGGTTGTGACTGCGCGTGTGCCGAACGGCTATAGACACATACAATTACGAGTGCCGGAACGGGCCAACGGGCCTCTCTCATCTTGAAGGCCTCATCGCCTGATTCTAGTCGGCACAGCAAAGCAACAATCGGCCCGATTGTTTCTACCGTATTTCCTGTGTGGCTGTCTAAGTGACTTGTAAAACAACTGGTATAAATTTGTTATTTTGCCGAGTAGTCTGCAAAACGAGTTCGTCGAACCACTTTCCAAGCCTGCACATCTATTTTCGTTCACTTCAACAATTATTGTAGAATTCACTTGCTTGATGCGTCGCACTGCAGTAATCCATTTCTGTTGCAGTGTCGCTTCCCAAGATCTCGAAGGGAACCGTTGTAGTTTGACGCTTGAGTCACCTTCGTGACTTTGGCAGTCTTTCACGCAGCAGTAGCGACGTTTATTCTTTGGGGGAACTCTAGGAGTAGGCGAGATGTCACAGGAGCTCGGTGAGGTCATAGAGACGTGAAGCCGGGACTTACTTTTAAGAGAAACTGTGCCCAAAAAGGCTCACGCCAATCCGAAATGCCACATTCACACATGGTTTCTTAAATGCGCCCACCCGCAGCCCCCTGATCTTGGCCGTCCTGGCCCACCCAGTGTCTTATTTTGCAGCCGCTAGATGGCGCAACGTGTGGTGCCAAACTGCATTGCCGGTTAATATTTCAGTAACTTTACTTTCGATGAGGGGAGGGAGTGAAGTGGAGAGATTCATATTATCAAGATTCTGCTGCGTTTGCCTGCCCCCCTCGCGTACACACACACACACAGTGTCGTTGCCCAAAGCGCCTCTGACTGTATGTTGCAAAACCTAATTTGTTTTGATCTGTATAAAAGAAGAAAATAATTTACTGACAGAGTGACAGTGCTGGTGGGCCTGAATCTAAATATGTACTTGCAGGACGACTTCATTTCATGACTTCTTTATGCAGCATAGCACGACACAGTCATTGCTTACGAGTAGTTGCAACGACAAGAGTTGATCAGGTTGCCAGTATCGCATGTGAATGAATACTATCTTAAAGGCGTGATTTCAAAAGGTAGTCTTCATTTATTTAGTGCATAAAGTAGCCTGGCTGTGGCAACATCATAAGCTTAGCATACCACTTTTATAGTAGTGGCCACAGCACCCTCATGTCACCTCCCTAAAAGAACCGTAAGGAAGAGCGGGCACTACCTCCACAATTTTGCGTCCTCACAAATCATAAAACAAGTGAAAGTGATTGGCTGATGGTGTGAAAACCAGCCAATCGCTTTCATTTGTTTTATGATGCATTACTGAAATCTCACCTTATTAGTAACTGTAGCCTACATTTTGTTTGGGCATATGCATGCTTCCTTCAATTACTACAACAAAGACATGGGGTTGAATGATTTGACTACCTAACATAGCTCCTTATCATGGGGCTAGATTGATGCTGTGAAGGAATATTGTGCTTTATTTATACTGCATTGCCCGTCATTTGGGATTACGTGGTGTGGCAAACGTTTTCTTTATTAAAGCTACAGTTTGTCCTAAATGTGTAAGGAAATCAGGATCTTGATGTTACTCGTCTCTCTAACCTTCAATTTGCTCTCCTCGGTGCTGCTGTGGCTGCGCCACCTGGTGAGGCTGTGGCCTTTTCTTGGCCACCTCTCTTTGCTGTCCGGGATGCTGAGGTATGTGTCTGGGCCTACAAGGCACTTTGTTTATTGTTTCCACTCCATTGGTTTATTCTGGAGAACAGACTAATGGCACAAAAGACATGGACACAAACAGGCAGGCACACAAAGAGACAGGTACCTGGCTTAGAGTTGGACTAAAGACGTTTCTGGGATTGTCTGTTCTTGGTGATAACTCATTCGGCGGGCTATAAGGATCCTAAATATTGAAAAATTATGCTCGTTCGATGCCTATTTTCCTATTAAAAATAGAAAAAAGAAATAAAAGAAGATAGTTCATGTCCTGCCATAGGACGAGAAGGTGCACTATCTTCGAAAAAGTGTACATGCGGGTGAGAGTGACATCAGTGCTATCTGACAGCCGTGTCCCACAAATTACAGTTTAGCAGTGCCAATAATACCTATCCAGGGGTTAGTAAGCTAGTCCGCATCGCTAGTATAGACTAGCAAAGAAGGCAGAGGTGAGACATTTTGATGCCTATTTCTGAACACAGAAAGCGAAGGTAGTGAGCTATGGTGATGGCACACTCATTCATGTTTTTTCTTTCATGTCTTGTCATGGATTGGAGCCCAAAGGTGTTTCTTTCGCATCGCTTGGCTGCCCGAGACTGCACATATTAGTACAAAACATAGGAGTGCACAGCGGTATACTTCCTTTGTACTTTGCGATGCTGCACTTAAAAATTGTCAAATGGTTCATTAAAGGGTACCTAAAATATTATATATGTGAAAAGCTTTTATGAAACAATTTTTTTATATCACTATTAGTATTTTACAGCAATAATGGACCTCCTTTCCAAAGCTGAAATTCCTTCTCTTAAAGCGGCTCTCGGGAGATTTCTAAGGTGGCCTATTTATGGCTGTAACACATTCTATGTGCTCTAAGCATCCCAAAAATTTAAAGTTAAATTATGTGCAGCTTATTCCACTAATAAAAATCTGATAAAAGATAGTGAATCTGAGACGTACAAATGGCACCACTGAACCTGGCCGAATGTAAGCGAGCAACAAACGGGGCTCATCACACAATCACAAAGTTATGGCTTCACGTGATGACAAGCAGCCGACTAGTCCTGCTCGTCTGCACAGGAAGTCCTCGCTTGCAATTAAGTGACGAGTGTCTTTCGCCGTTCCACCCCATTGGCCTTGATTCAATTCAACCATATTCGCTATCTTTGATCACATTTTTTAATAGTGAAATAAGCTGCACATGATTGTGAGTTTTGGATTTATGGGATGCTTAGAGCACATAGGTTGAGTTAGGAACATAAATAGGCAATCGTGGAATACTAGGAAATGCCCCTTTCATTTATTTCATTTTTTTTATTTATATATATTGTGAGGGTGTTTATGAGAGACATATTTGATAGTGCAATGTGGGAAGACCAGAGGCGACCAATAGCGAAACAGCCAAATCGCTCTCAGCTCGCGTGGCGAAAACATGCAGTGCGCGCCCCTATTTCCCAAAGATGTGCGTCGTTGTCTTCGTAATAATATGTACAATACAGCATTTCAGTGAAACAAAGCAGGAACATGATTGCAGACAAAAGTGGACAGCCCCATTTGTGTTGCCTGTATTTCTTCACTTTTTGTGCATTTGCTTGACAATGTGACTCTCTGCAGACTCATCTTGGACCTGGCATCAAAATGCGAGAGGCAGCATTTACACACGCCATGGAAAAGGCTGCCACTCCTGGCCGCTTTCTCAGAATGGTCAGCCGACCACTATGGGAGCCTGCGGAGCTCTTGGACAGGAGAATGTCAGGGCAAGCCTGCAGGCGTCTCCTCTAGGAGGGTGTGGTAGGAAAGAAGCCCCTAACACAAGAAAAAATTAAAGGGAAGCTACGGAGCTTCTTGGAAAAAATGAGTTAGAAGTGAATTCTAGTGTATTTTTACCCCGTGAACCCGAATACCCAAACCATTTGCTGCGTAAGTATTGTTAAACGCGAGAAAAACGCGAAAGACAGTCGCTGTCCGTGACGTCATCGACGGCTCTTTTGGCTGCCCAAGGCTAGGGGGGCGGGGCTTCAGCCCTATTTTGAAATTGCTCTTGTGGCTCTCCGGCGCGTCGCATTGAAATATAATTTTGATATCTGTTATTCTCAAGGCCAAATGAACGCAATTCAAGCGTTTTTTCTCAAATGTAGAAGTGCCCCATCTTCCCTTTAAAGCTCTAACTGGTGGGTATTTCTGATCAACCTGGAAGGGCACAGAATCTGTTGTGGCTGTGCTGTGCTTAGCTCTGCACATAATGTGTGTATAGTGTGAGTTATAATTTACTACGATTTGAGATATTTTTATGGACCTATTGTTGGTTTTGCCTTGTGCAGCACACATGTACAGTCAGAGGCACTATGAGGTTAGACAAGGTGAATGTGGGCAGACCAGGAGAAATGCCGCATGGGGTACAGCGCTTTCTTTGCACACTGGGAGCGAGGCCACAATGTTCGATCTACAGTCAAACCCAATATTATCGAACCCGGTTAATTCATACTAATTGTAAATGGACTGGTAGCTGCAATAAAAATGCATAGCGAAAAATGCAATTGCATTGAACGAAAATTGCAGCGTCTCCCCATACATCAATCTCCCAAGAGCGCTGTTTAGCTCTGCAAGCTGATTTTCCCCCAGCGAGAGAGTTTTTGTTGGGGGAAAGCCAGCTTGCAGAGTAAGGTGGCTTTTTTTTATTTTGGGCTGTTGCGTCGACCGCCCAGAAGATAAAAAAAAAAAATATCTCGCGGGGGGAGAGGGTGAGCCGGTAGACGAAGAAGCGGCCACTAAATAGCTGCGGTGAGCGTTCCTCATGACGTACAGATGCCCCTTCGAGAGTAAACTACTTTTCTAAATGTGACGTGCTTGTTCGTTGTCAAAATCATTAAAACTTTTATAGTGAATTGCCCGCTATATCGAAATGGTAGACGGTTTATTGAGAGTTCGATATAGTCGGGTTTGACTGTATTATGTTGCCCACAGGAATGGGAAAGCAGATTGAATGCGGGAGGGCAGGCAGAGTGATAAATTGACTGATTATCAGGCTGGACACGACAGAACTTCCTTGTTTACTGTTGTAATTTTATTACTTTAAGGTTTTTTTTTTATGAATAACTGCTCGTGTATTTTTTTTACGCACTGTAGGTTTCATCATGCGATACCAACATGCCCAAGCCATCATCTTAGCCATCCAGATGTGCTGGCAAAAACGGCATGGAAGAAAAGAGCCATGGACAGCCCTGTCTGCAAGGGAATGTGTGCGAGTGGTGCGTGTTGGGAAAAAAAATAAAATAGTAAGTTTCATTGTCTTTGTAGTTTTATTTCATGGCAGAATGAACACCTAAACCTTCGAAAAATTGGTATTCTTTTTGCACAATTTGCTAGCCGTTGTCATCAGCAGTCCTTTCTGCATCTAAGTTATATTGTGTATGCATGACGAGGTCACCCCAAAGACACTAGATTGGCAGGGTCACATCAGAACACACTTGACAGGGTCACATAAAGACATCAGAACACACCGAGACCCGTGTCTGAATTTCTGCTCTGCCTCGTCGTGTTGTCTCTTATCTCAATAAAGTCTAAAAAATTTTGCGTTGCGATTTCAGCTTTCGCAAAAGCCAGAAGTAATAGGGTGCCATGTCTGGACTGTAGGGGAGCTGGTATACCTGGGTAAAACCCCGTACGAGACGTGACGAAATGGCAGATGTATTGTTGTGATGAAGCTGGCAATCACCTATTGCGCGCAACTCCTGCCGTTTTATTCCTATGGCATCTCAGGCGGCGAAAAACTTCCATGTAGTGTACTCTTTATTTATTGTCTGGCCTGAAGGACCATACTCATAATGGACCTAACGTTTATAATCAAAAGGGGTTGTCAACAGTATGTTCGCGTGGCTCCGACTTTTCTGTGCTCTCTTAGAATCTGGAGACCTGGGTGACTTCTATTGGCTTGAGTAAGCTTTTGTTTAGGGTCACAGTTCTTAATCCATTACTCATCTCAAGTTATAACTACGGCTAGGCCGTTGATCGATTAACCTCATGCTTTCATCTTGGTTAATTTTTCAAACAGTTAATCGGTAAAATTCTGATGAATCAAAAGAAAGTAAAAATTAAATGTTCCCACCACGCAGACGTGGACGAGTACACCTGTATAAACGGCAAACTTTAGGGAAAAAGTTTAACCTAATGTAAACTCTATGGGTGATATTTGTAACTCAAGACGGATGCAGGAGGTTTCAAGCGTGCCGGCCACTTCAATGCCATGCGAGTGTCCGTTTAGCGCACCATAGACTATTGTGAATAATCAGAGGAAATCACTCTATTACCAGAGAGTATGACCGAACCTCTTGGCCTCATACAGTAAGAATCTGAGTGCGTGTGTCCTTCAACTGTTCTCAACTACACCAAGGTTGGTTCATAATCAAAAATCTCTTTGCATCGTTTATCACAAATTCAGCAGCAAAAAAAAGATTGATTTTTTAGAGCATTCTGCATGAAAATGAACGAGACCGATTAATCAATAAAAGGCGGCGATTAATCTGGTTAAAATATTTAATCGACGCCCATCTTTATTTATAACTTTCTTTAGGATCTGGATTGTTGTTGGTTTAAATCAAGTTCTATGCAACTTCAGCACGAAAAACATTCTGCTTTTGTGACATAAATTAGGGTGAGGAAGAAAAATCTTTATAAAATAACATGCCTCTATAGGTACCACCTGGAAAGGCACCACCGATTGAATGCCTATTTTGAAATAAAAAAATAGGATGGCAATCCACCAATCCTGTGACAGAAACTGCACAATGAATTTTTTTTCACCTCGCGTTTTATGCTTAAATCCTCCATCCTAACTTCTGAAAGTGTTGTCTGTGGAATTGCCACGTCTCCTAATTCTCTCACTGTCATCCGGCAGTTATTGTTGATAGTAGCTCACGTGCACTTTAAGTTGCCAGGTATTCTGGCTATGAAGGGCCTTGTGGAGCATGCATCCCTGTCAATGGCATGCCGACCATCTCCGGAGTGCTCAATGAATTGTACCTGAAAGTGTCCGGTGATGAATATTGAAGTATAAAAGTCTTTAATATCTGATCGACTCGCTAAGTCATAGTAAATCTGATGATCAGACAGTGCCTCACCTCAATCAATGGCATCTTGCTGCCGACTGAGTGGCAGAAAGGTAAAGTGATTGTTCACACATGTGCGGAAGGGTCCCGACTGTTGGCCAATTGACGTTGGAGCCGCGCCCCGGGTTAGCAAGACAATAAAAATCACTGAATACTTTAAGAACAAACTTTATAAGCTCTACTTTTAGGTGCCAGGGAGCTATCTACCTGGATATAAGCAAAGAGTGGAAAAATGAAAAGCTGCTCATGTTGATCATTTTGTTTAGTACACTTCACTGCAATACAGAGATGCTTTGTGGGGAAACTAATGTCATGATTTTCTCTACATTGCAGAATCTTTTTGAATAACATATTCATTTTAGATAACGTAAGGGGCACTAACCCCATGGTTTTGCAAAAAAAAAATAATGCAGCTCGTATTTTTTTTATTTTATTAAGCACACTTCATTGCAATACAGAGTGCTTTGTGGGGAAATAAGGTCATGACTACCTCTACATTGTAGACTGTCATTTTCGACAACATAAGGGGCAGTAACCATCTGGTTAGTGCCCCTTATTTGTATTAGATAACAAAAGGACAACTAAACCCTCATTTTGCGAATGAAGCAACAAAATACTGTTCCGATTTTTTTTCTCACTTTGTCGTGCATACTTTCTCGCAACACAGGTGTGCTTTGTGGGGAAACTAACGACTTGGCTACCACCTGATTGTAACTGTAGATTAAGATGACATAAAGTGTAGTCCTGCTTTTTCCAACTGTTAATTGAGGCTAGAAAAGCTATAAATTATTTATTTTTATGAAAACAAAACTTGTAAGCTTTGTATTACTGCTTTGGCCCCACTTTTTTCCTAAGATAATTAACAGATTCCTACTCAGTGGTGCAACATACATAACATCAGTTTAAACTCCAACAAGAATATCAATGATTGGGTTGATAATAAGAACGGAGGATTTTCAAAGCAGAATACTAGGCTAGGGGTGGCCAAACTGCGCCTCGCAACCACATGCGGCTCTCTCAGGTTCCAAGTGTGGCTCACGACTTTCTGGTAAGCATGCCCAGGCAAGAAAGAAAAAAAGGTATCAAATAAGACAGCTTGCGTTGTGGCAACCTTGTGCCAACATGCCTATGCTGCCATGAGGCACTTTGTTCAACAATGGAGGAGGTAAAATTAGAATAGCAAGCACGACCCTGACGTACAAAAACCTAGCTGAGCTCCTAGATTTTTGGTGCACCCTCTTCTGGCATTGCTGGAAGCTGTCTGCCAATAATAGTATAATAACAATAACAGGACAGCTGTAGTGGTCAATAAAATATGAATGCAATTGATATAATTGAAATGTGTTGCAATGCTGGAAAACTAAATTCTTTCATAGTGACCAACTGGTGAACCTTTCTTGAAATAATGACTGCAGGAGCTAGGAAAGTCAGACACTGACCATTAACAGCCCCATTATTCATAAGATTGTCAGTGGCATGGAGTCTATAAATATTTGTCTTCCATTGTGATCAATAACGAAATTTACTTTGAGGCGGGTTTATATTATGACACCACTACGGTGTAGCAATAACATTGTTCGTAGACCCTACTACAATATTTCAATATTAATATCTGATGCCTATGCATTTTCACTAATTGACGAGCTTTGAGCAATTGCTAAGAAAGTGTTTTTGCCATATCTATGCAATGAATTAGCCAACTGGGCTCTGATAGAAGAAAAAATAGCTGAACAGGCAATGTCAGGATGAAAAAATGGCTATACTCGGATTAACCTCACAGCCCCATCTTCTATGATATAAGTATGTTGGAGCCTCAGGGTCATGACCCACTTCATTGACAATTGTTAAGCTCAATTTATTCGAAACACAATACCTTAGGTCGCTAATGAACATACTGAATGTTTCTACAATCTGACTTGATTATTCAAATCCTTCATTACTGCAACTCATTAAGCAAAGGATTTGCAAGTAACCAGCCACTAAACCCTAGCTATTGCTATATTTATTGCATGTTGGTTGTTGTGATGATCCGACAGCAATAATAAAACAGAAAAGCAACATCAATGAACAGATTTCGAGTTTTATTGATTGAAGAAGTGTACAGGTAGAAACTGAGAGAGAGGAGATGAAAGCGAGCGGGCATGTCAGAACACCAAGCTCTGGTTGGAATGATTAGTGGATAGAGGCAGAGCCTTTGTCTCTACTCACTGTTTGAAAGCGAGCACAGAACATTAGACGCCGGTGTTTGGCATTCGAATGCATGCAAACAGTGAGCACGGTTTTGCATCTACCCACTAATAATTCAAACCAGAGCTGAGGGTTCTGACATACCCACGTGCTCTCTTCTCCTCCCCTTCCTCAGCTTCTACCTGTACAGACCAAACTTTAAGGAGCAGTGTTAATTACTGATTGAATTTTTCGCATTCTTTTTGTAGTAGTTTTAGTTTCAGGATTTCTTGATCTCGTTGGAGTGTAAGGATACCAATTTCTAATCTTTGTCTTTCCATGTCAAGCATTCGTTTTTCCTCAACGGCCTTTGTCTGGGCCTCTAGCAAGCGAACTTTTGCCTCAGCCACGTGGTTATATATGGCTGTGGCATCGGCAGCAGCGGAGCTTCTCCTCACGGGCCTGTTGGGTCCCTGTTGAGGCTGTGTCTGCGTGCAGGGCATCACTCCAGAGGCCACAGGACTACTTCCAGGAGCTGGAGTCACTGGCGTCTGCTCCTGCTGGTCACTGTCCTGAAATCATAGATGCTTTTGCACAATAGTACTGCAACAAAATATTCTATTGAAAACCCAGGTTAAGGGATGGTGCCAACTGAGGGATTATAAAATAGCACAAATATTATTGCTTAGCCAAAGCGAGCAAAATAATTTATTCTATTTTTGTGCAATAGTGAGCAGACCATCACGCTGCCACCGTGTTTCTCCTCATGTGAGCAGGTGCACACAATTGCAAGCCTGTCAGATCTATGTGCATATATGCTGCATGTGCTTGCACACTTGGGGCACCAGCCATGATGCAATGTGCTTAGAATACTGTATAAACAGGCAAGTGCTAGAATTATCATTCGTATTATAAAAACAGTGGTACTTGGCCACTTTGAAATAATAGATATTGGTGAAATCTAGTGCTGACAAGAATTGATAGGCCACACCAAACAAAGCCGGGCTTGTTATTGA